TAATAATAATCCTTGAATCTACAAAATCTACAAAATTCAATTTCACTTTTTGAATTGGGCTCATTTAAAAACATTTCTATACAGGTTTGGACACAGTTCTGGTTAAACTGGCCTGAGCAGAGGGGCTGAATGGGAATAGTACATGTGGTGGGGGAAAGCCAGCAGTGAGCCGCTGCTCGGTGAGTTTGTWCCGGGGCCCCCGCTCGTTTCCGAGGCCCCGCTCTCGTGGTAAAGGATGGGGACCCGCACAATCCTCTGGGCCGCGGCGTGGCTCATGTTGGCCGCCTCCAGCTCGGCGGCCAGCTGCCGCTTCCACTTGTTCCTCCGGTTCTGAAACCAGATCTTCACCTGCGTCTCGGTCAGGTGCAGGGACGCGGCCAGGCCGGCCCGCTCCGAGCTGCTCAGGTAGCGCTTGATGTCGAASGTGGACTCCAGCTGGAAGACCTGGCTCCTGGAAAACACCGTGCGCGTCTTCTTCTTCCGGCAGGGCTTCTTGTCCGGGTCCAGGTCGTCCGCTTTTCTCCTCCAGTCCTCCTCCTCCGGGTCCGTTTCTTTCTTTGACTCCTCCACGTCGCTGTCGTCCAGGGCGAGGTCGTCATCGGCGCTTTCCTCTTTGGCATCATGGTCAGTTTTTTGGAGATCCGGGGAGCGCCTATCCGGAACTGGTGACTCTTCTCTCGGGTTGACTTTCTCAGATCCTGCAGGGCAAAATATAATATAATAATAAAAAAAAATGGTGCTTTGATTTTCGCAAATTGTTATTTTTGACGTCATGTCACGGCACATTAAAAAAAAAACTCATTTCTCATGTGGTGAAATAATTTACCTGCAGTCCTAAAATGCGTCCCCAGCGCGTATGGGTACCACCAGGCAGACGCTCTCTCCAGATACTGCGCTGACAGTCCGATCCTCTGCGCGGGCAGCTCAAACCGAGGCAGAGACAAGTCACTGAGCCGAGAAAAGAAGCTGCCCTCGAAAACTCCTTTGGCCGAGCCGAGTGTGAGCTTTGGCTTCGTGGGTTTGTCTTCAATATTCAACAGATTCTTTATGGAGAAGGGGGAATCTTTGGCGGGTTGGCGAGTCTCTTCAGAGTCTGCCATCACCGTTTACTATCCAATAAAAATGATCATCCAAAAGAGAAAAAAAGAGGTCAAATATCACATAAAAACAGATTTGGAGGTTTAGCAGGTTTTGATAAAAGAATAAAAAAATAAAAGGAAAGGTAAATAAGGAAATCCTCCCCCTGGACAAAATGTTGTGCGTAAAAGCGCAGAGATCTGTGCGTCAAAACTTGGCGCTGGATTGTAATGGTGGAACAGAAGTGGTATCTGAGATAAAGCGCGTTCGGTCTTCTCTGCTATTGGGCAGGTACAATAGCAAATGGGATTGGAGAGGGGGAAAACTGCGAGGGCTCGTGACGAGAACAGTCTCCAAAAGAAGAACAAGGCCGCGCAAGCGTTTTGGCTCCGGGCTCCGCCGGTAACGCACCCAATTATCATCCAATTAGATTAAAGAGGAAAATGTCTCTGTTTTTTCTTTCTTTCTGAGAGGGTTTGGGGGTGGAGGTGGGCGTGCACGAGCCACCATCACMTGTCATTAAATTGAATAAATGGTTCAGAGATTATCACACCAGCGCGGATCTAAGTATTATGCAAATTACGCACGCGTTTTACGCACGCATATACACAAAAAGGTTATCATAAAACCTCCGTTTTTAAGCTTAACATATATAAATACAGATATGAATCGATCCTGTAAATTTTAATTGGATCTGCTGGGATGCAGTCTGTGATTCATCTGTTCCACCTGCCTTCAGTAAAACAGGGATATATGTTTACCTGCASCGAACATCTCTGACTTTAACTTTATTAGGCAGGAAGTGCTTTGGGCCTAGCACAAATTGAATGCTTCCCATCATGTTAGAAAGCCCTTTCAGATCAGGTTTGCACAAAAACCACAGGTGATTTAATGGGGGGATTAAATCAGCCTTGTTCCTGTCAAATATAACTACWACAAGTACTTAGATGAAACAGATTACATTTGTGTGTAATGAGACATCACACTTCATTAAATCATATGATAAATTCCCTAAGCTAGAATTAAACGAGCAGGAGAAAGTCTGAATTATTTTTTTCCTGATGGAAACTCATTTTCAGTCAAAGAAATGTTTTTTTTATTTTTGTTTTGTGACTTTCATGCTAAGCCAAAACCAGAGACACATCTTCATTATGGGAAGCAAAAAAGAAAAAAATAATAATAATGCACTATCATTTAAACCCAACCTGAAGCAGATGCAGAGAATAGTCAAACAGATTGAATTTGCTCAACTTACAAGYACACAGCCATGTCCTTTCAGCTCATCAAATGCTCTCCAAAGCTAAAGGACAACACWGTGTTTTGGTGAAAAGCTACTTGAATCCTTGCATAATTAGAGGTCTCATAGCCGTGGTAAAAAATTGGAGATGGATAATAGCTGAACTGAAGGCAAAGTGAGGAAAAACAGCTGTGTTTTCAGTTGATTGTGTAACTTGAAGTGAATCAGGAGGGGAAAACCAAAGATGGAAAAACAAGCCTGGGTGATTCTCAGTGAAATTGGGGGGATTTTGGAAATATTCTGCGATATGACTATGAAAAGCACTGATTTTATCTTCCAACAGAAGGCTAAAATCTGTGATTAAACACTTCAACATATATTTAATCGTTTTTTGATACAAAACTAAGGCTTCTTTGTACATGATGTTTATAATTCATCTTATTTTTTTGATTCATAAGCAGAAAACTCACACAATTAACCTTTGCACGCATCTCTAGTGACAAGAGCAGCGTAATGACAGGAGCAATTATGATTGACATCTTGACACTTACAATTAATTTGAAGCATATAGTGGTGTAACCAATAAACACATGCTTATTTTTCAGATTTCTTATTTTAAGTCTTGYCAAGTGAAATTAAASCAGTGTGATAAAAATAAATGAGCAGGCTATAGATATTTTTACGATCATTTAAATGTCTTTTTTTTTAAAAGTCAAGACTGTAAATCTCAAGCTTTGCATTGTCCCCACTTTCTAATAATTAGTGAACAGCATAATTGTTTAATATGTGAAAAACAGACATTATGGGGGAATAAAAATACAAAKTGTCATTCTGGGTCTGAGTACCTGAACATAATTCATCGTCAGACTTTATTTTACACAACTCAACACTAAACAATCAATGAGTGAATTATGTAAGGCAGGCCCTTCTTGTCTATTTAATTTAATGTCAAATATTAGAAGTGACACTGGCTGCCTTTTCACTGAGGTGCAGTCGCTCATGGACGTGCTGCCATCTAGTGGGACAGTTTGATAATAACCTGTAATGGTGACAAAGGATCACACTGTGGTAATTTTTAAATTTAATGTAGACAGATTGTTCTTTACAGAGAAACATTGCTGTGACGTGAAAGAAATCACTGTACAGTACACTACAGGGTGAAGAGGAGTGAGTGAACTGCAATAATCCAGTTAGATAGTGTCCTGCAATGACATCATGAACTTCTCATTTACTGCAAATCTTCTGAAGGCGCAGCATCATTAAAAGACTATCCTTGTCAGAACCGTTCACTTGATATCTTCCCATCTGCAACATAAGAATYAGTGAGTCCTACACAACTTTCTGCCAGACATAATAAATTCACAACAAATATGGAAGACATGTTGCAGTAAAGGCAATTTTTAGACTTGAACAGAAGAAGAGCCAMGTTCTTTAGATCTAGAGCTTACAAGAGCACAAAGCTCAACCAGAAATAAAACGCCTAAAATTTAACTAAGAGAGAAAAACAAACACATGAGTGTAGCAGAAAAGTGAGAATAATCCGTTTGTGGTTGGATGTTTTCAGTGGTCGTATTCCTTATCAATAAACTTGGCCATAGTGGATAGCTGGATATTTGTCGTGCCCTCATAAATGGTTCCTGGGCGAGAGGGGGAAAAAAAATAAAAATTAATTGAATAAATTTCCACATGCAAAAACAAAGTCCATACTATAGTTTGAGTCTCAAGATTTGATTTCTAGGAGAGAACAGGAGTTTCCTAGAGTCATAAATCTCCCTGTGATGAAAGCAAAAGCGATATTTTGCAGTGGTAGCTTGCTCAGCTGTGTGTGTGTGTGCAGGCACAATGGCCCTCTGAGCAGCCACAAAGGCAAATTCCTACAGAGTCCGATTACAGCGACTGCAGTCCCACCCCACTCTGGTCCAATCACAAACAGCTACACCTGAACCTCCTGCAGCAGTTTCKTCTGAGAGCAGTTTATCCAACGGCTTAATAAATAAACGAATAAGGAAAGAACGCTCACCGATTTTACAGTCTCTGTAGTATTTCTCTATGGGGTAGTCTTTAGTGAAGCCTACTCCTCCCATCCATTCAATACATTTAGATGTGGTCAGGGTTGCAACCTGATAAAACAAGAATAATTAAAGAAACTGATAGCATGAATTAAAAAAAAAACAGTTGTTTGAAACAAAAAATACAGAAACCCACCTCAGATGTGAAGTATTTAGCCATGCAGGCCTCCTTAATGAAAGGTCTGCCAGCTTCCTTCAGGCGAGCGGCGTTGTATGTCAGCAGCCGCGCTGCTTCAATCTGTGTCGCTACATGGGCTATTTGATGCTGCATGCCCTGAAGCAAAAATAATACCCAAACAAGTCATTAAACGATACTCAGCCTGACCTCAAAAGCTGAACGCATATCACTTGATAAGAATTAGGCAGATAAAACAAGGGGTTTTGGAGGATCAGAACCTGAAAGTCAAAGATACGTTTTCCAAACTGTACTCTCTGTCTGGTGTAAGGAACGGTGTGGTCAAAGCAACCCTGTGCCAGTCCAAGCATCTGCAACCCAGTGGGACAAAGTTATTATAAACATCATGATGAAGTTATTTCAACAAAAATATGCCGCTGCATACCTGTGCCGCAATGCCAATCCTGCCCTCATTCAGCATACCGATGGCATACTTGTATCCATGACCGAGTTCTCCTAAAATGTTTTTCTCTGGTACCTACAGAAAGCTGAAAGTTAGCGAAAATCCCAACACGGCTGACGCCGGTTCAATGAAGCTCAAGAGTGTTTGGTTTCACCTTGACGTTGTCAAAGTTGAGGGGGCAGGTGGAGGATGCTCGCAGCCCAAGCTTGTTCTCCTTCTTGCAAATCTCAAGTCCCTCAGTGTCCCGGTCCACGATGAAGCAGGTAATGCCTCTGTATCCCTGCCGAACAACAGAGCGAGAACAGCATCAGGATTTAGAATCGATGAGCTCAAAAAAAAAAATCTAAATAGTGTGAATGATAAACTCGTGCAGTACKCACAGCAGAAGGATCCACATTAGCCATGACGAGGAAAACTCCTGCGTGCTCTGCATTACTGATCCACATTTTGGATCCGTTGATTACGTAATAGTCCTTGTGTTTTTCAGCGCGCGTCTTCAGAGAAAAGGCATCACTCCCTGACTCTGCTTCAGAGAGGCAGAAGCTTCCACACTGTCACAACAAGCCACAAGCAGGAAAATGTTACGAGTGAGTGAGAGACAGACAGACAGACAGACAGAAAGACAGACAGACAGACAGAAAAGAAAGAAAAAAGCAAGAAAGACAGACAGACAGACAGAAAGAAAGAAAAGAAAAAAAGCAAGAAAGAAAGAAAGAAAAGAAAAAAGCAAGAAAGAAAGTCAGAAAGCAAGAAAGAAAGAAAGAAAAGAAAGACAGAAAGAAAGAAAGACAGAAAGAAAGAAAGAAAGAAAGCGAGAAAGAAAGTCAGAAAGCAAGAAAGAAAGAAAGAAAAGAAAGACAGAAAGAAAGACAGAAAGAAAGAAAGAAAGAAAGAAAGCAATAAAGAAAGAAAACAAGAAAGAAA